AAACTTAGCCCTCTAGCTGTAAACGTAGCTCAAATGTTAAGGAGTTCTGGTACTTTAAAATTCGTAACCGAAGTTACCGAATTAAAAAATTTGAACAACAAAAACTTACGGTGTGTGTGAAACGTGACTAATATTTATGTATAAACAAGTTGTGCTTTCCAATAAGTAGTCACCGCATTGTAACACTTTGTCGCTTTAAGATCTTTTAATCAAAATGTTTACAGCTGAACTTTTTAACATTATAGTGAAAACAACAGAATTGAAATCTAAGTATATAAAGCGAAGACAGAGATAGATTAATACGACATTAAAATCAGTGTTGCCAACATTGGTCAAGCAAAACGCGCGCAAAAAAATTAAAAAGGGGTAAAAAAGCGTAATTTTCTAACTGAAAATGGGTAAAAAAGCACTAAAGTTTTTTAGTCAAATATTGTTTATTTTAATAAAAATTGCACATTATTTCGCTCATTTCCTACAAGACTCCAAAATTCGTTTTTTAGAACATTGACTACAAAACAAAACATGCGTCATACTAAAGTCTTTCATCTGTGTGAGTTAGATTTTTAGTAACGTAAGAACTAAAACTAATGTTTGACGAATATTAGATAAATAAGATGAGAAATTTTCAAATTCCTTGATTTGTTTAAAAGTTTTTTAAAAATAGTAAAATGTCATTAAACATTCAAACTGACAGGCACACTACCAACTGGCGAACCGATGTAACCACACCCAAATTGTAAAATTGTACAAAACTTATGAAATATATTTTTTTTGCAAAATCTATATATATTATTTTTAAGTTTTTTGAGTTCTGGAAAAATTTTTAATTTCACTGATAGTGAATAACATAACTTATTTTAACGTATTTTGAATATTTTGTTTTTTGTTTTTGAAGAATATTTGCTTTTAAAACTTAACACAAATAAAAAAAAAACTTTAGAGCACCCGTGTAAAAAAATATAAAACAGTTTTTAAGAAAAATTTAGTCCTTAGTGTAAACTATTAAACTAATCGTATTCTAATAAACAACAAAAAGTGGTACAAATAGAAAGATCAAAGAATGATCCCTCAGTTTTCTTAACATTATAGAGAAAATGTTTAATATTAATTAAATAAATTACCTCCTGAAATTCACAATTATTTTAAAATATTTTAACAAGTAAGAGTGTTATATTCGGCTGTGCCGAATCTTATATACCCACCATCAAATCTTATGACGTAAAAGGAATGCTTCTCTGTAAACATCAGGGAGATAATGCTTAATTCAATTATGTACGTGATCTTCGAATTAACAAAATATTAATTTTTAAAAACAAAATATATATATCAGAGGTAGTGTCAATTATGAACTGTTTGTCGTAAAATTTGGTAGAAAGACTTCGTATAACACTTATTCGTTTCGAATTTCATTGCTGATCTCGAATTTTTAATTCAGACATAAGCGTAAAAGTTATTATCTAAAGGGGAACTTATATGGGGTTGGGACAATTATATATCGATACCCATAAAATTTTGTACATAGATTTTGTTTTGTTGGTCAGTTATATCGTCATAAAATTCGGAATAAAGAATTATAATAAAAATCTTTTTATTGCGAGTACAACGATGAAGTAATCATGGAGGCTTTATATATTAGGGATAGGTTCAATTGTGTAAAAAAATTGTATAATACTTATTTTTTGTCAATTTTCATCGCTGTACTCATATTTTTAAGGGGACCTTAATAGGGGGTAGGGTAGGTTACCGAAAAATCCGAATTAAATTCGGTAGGAAGATTACGTTTGTATAAAAGTTGTTTATTTCGAATTTCTCCGCTATACTCGTATTTTTAAGTCAGTAAAGAGCGTTAAAATCAATTTTTGAAGGTGACCATATGTGGGGGTAGGGTCAATTATGGACCGATTGCCGTAAAATTTGCTAGAGAGATTTTGGCTTATATAAAACATATTTATGTCGAATATTTTTAAGTCGGTAATGAGTATTAATGTCATTTGGTAGAGAAATTTTGATGCATATAAAAGTTACTTATGTTGAATTTCAACGCTGCACTCATAGGGAGACCTTATTTGGGGGTAAGGTCAGTTATGGACCAATTCCCATAAAATTTGGTAGAGACATTTTGCCTTATATAAAACTTATTTATGCCGAATTTCATCGCTATACTCGTATTTTTAAGTCAGTAATGACCGTTTAAATCATTTTCTGAAGGAGACCTTATATGGGGGGTAGGCTCAATTATAGACCTATTTCTATAAAATTTAGTAGAGATTTTGGCTTATATAAAACTTACTTATGTTGAATTTCATCGCTATACTCGTATGGGGGGTAGGGTCAATTTTGGACCGATTCCCATAAAATTTGGTACAGAGATTTTGACGCATATAAATTTATGCCAAATTTTATCGCTATACTCGTATGTTTAAAACAGTTGTGACTGTTAAAGCTGTTTTTCGGGGGGTCACTTGTATGGGGGATATGCGAAATTGCGGACCCATATTGCCCATTTGCCATACCAAACAAACCTTACCTATAAGAAATATTTGTGGAAAAATTTAACTCGCTTGCTCTTTCCGATCTAACCCTATCGTGCTTTCAACAGACAGACGGACGGACAGATGAACAGACGGATGGACATGGTTAGATCGGCTTAGAATTTAATAAGGACCCAAAATATATATACTTTTGTGGGTCTACGACCAATATTTCGATGTGTTACAAACGGAGTGACAAAATCAACTCATCGTTTTTGATGGTGGGTATAAAAAGCACTAAATGCACTGTCATAAAATTAGAAAGCACTACTGTAGTGCCTTTTTGAAAAAAGGCACCATGAGCAAACTTTTCCGCGTTTGGCACACCAAAAGGCACCGCAAATAGTGCTAAAAGCACTAAGTTGGCAACACTGATTAAAATGCTGTTAATCTTATCTCAGTGGCTGATAAATATACATTTTTTTACTCACATGCACATTTAACAATTAGTGTTAATTAAAATGTTAGAAAAAAAAACCCATGTAATGTTATTTTGCTGAGAGAATGTTTTGCTATAGAGATACCAGATTTTTTCAATTAGATTTTTTAGGATTGAGTAGTAAGCTACGTAATATGTATACATAAATATGTATATAAACAGCTGACTTCGTTAGTTAGCAGTTTTTTTAAAGCGAAGGAACTAGTGCCGTCACTGGTTACTTATAGTTAGTTAAAGTTTATGATTATACAATTATATATGGAGATGATCTGTGAATTCAAAATAGAGGAATTGTAAATTGATAAATATGTTTATACCCTACACCATTTTATCGGGAAGATTGTAATACACAATAATATTGGTCCTACACCAGTATACCAATCGGCTTAGAATCATTTTCTAAGTCGATTTAGCTATGTCCATCTGTCTGTCAGTCTGTCTGTCTGCCTGTCTGTCTGTCAATCCGTCCATGTAAACTTTGTAATCAATCAAGTTAAGATCGGTATAGAATAGTGCTTGTAAACTTTGTAATCCAACTACAGGTCGAAATTTTTAAGATAATGCAATGACATTAGGTACATGATCTTCTACTAACCCAGAGACAAAGTCTATTGAAAATGGTTAAGATCAATTCATTATTTCAAGTAGACCCCATACAACTGAACCTCCCGAATAGGGCTTTTGTTCGGTTCTCATTTGATCCTATTCCTCATACAAAGACACCTTCAGAAAATAAGTTAAATTTAAGGCTTATGTCGTAATCAAAATCAAGATAAATACATTTTATCTGAACTTAGATCCTTTGATCAAATTTTATGGGGATCGGTTCACATTTTCCCTCATTATGGTCGACCACACCCCACTATAATTTCTTACTTGTTATACCCTACACCACTATAGTGGGGAGGGTATTATACGTTTGTTCTGATGTTTGTAACACATAAAAATATTGGTTCTACACCCACCTTAAAGTATACCGATTCAGAATCACTTTTAGAGTCGATTGAGACCTGTCCGTCCGTATGTCTGCCTGGCTGGCTGTCCATGTAAACCTTGTGCGCAAGGCAGAGGCCGCAATTTTCAAGATAATTTGATGAAATTTGGACCAAACATGTTTTTTGCCACAGAGACGAAGCCTATTGAAAATGCTTGAAATCGGTCCATTATTTCACCTAGCCCCCATACAACCGTACCTCCCGATTTGGGCTTTTTATGCCATAATTACGTCAAATATAAGTTTTATATAAGTATAAATGATACTGCTCATTTTCGTAATGATCGGCCCTAGCCCCCATACAAACAAAAATGTCTTAAACGTCAAAAATTTACTTGTAACCATTTGTATCGCAATGAAACTCAACATAACCAACTGTTATTTAAAGATATATCCTTTTCTCAAATTTAATGAGCATCGGCCCATATTTGACCTATACTCCTATATAAAGCCTCATTTAGAAAATTTGTTTTTTATCAATAAATTGCTTACTTTGGAATTAAGGTAAAATTCATCATAAAAGTTCCTTTATGAAAAATAAAAATTTTTTAAATGGTGTAGGGTATTATATGGTCGGCCATGCCCGACTATATTTTCCTACTTGTTTTATTTTGTTTCCAAATTGTAATTTTTCCCAGATTTCTAGATAAAGAGTGAAAAAATTGATCTCTGGCAATACATTTTTCTACAAACATATTGTTCATTTACTACAAAACTAACATAACTCTAAATTCGAATTTGAGCCAATTCTAGAGTGACAACTATTTTGGGTCATGGAGTTATTCTTAGTGAAAAACATCAAATCTTACACTTTTTATTATAAAGGCGATAAAAAACATATTAAACTTTTCAAATCCGAAAAATTTGTTTAAAAGAAATTAAAGAACTGATGAATTTTCAATCAAACTTTCAAAGCCGTTTTTTACGAATCAATATTTTTTTAGTTATACCAGTCTTGCAATAAATAAGCGATTACTGGTATTGAAAATATAAACAATTGTGCTCAGTTAAAAATGAAAATTGAACAAAAAACAACAGGTTGTTTTATTCATAACAGGTTTGAGCTTGTCATGCTAAGCATGATGATGTGAGAGAAGTGAGACAGACCACTGTAGAGGCGAAGGCAAAGAAGACAAAAAGAAAACAGACAGAGAAATAACAAAATAAACAAAAAATATCAATTTAGTTAGATACGGTTTCTTAAACAGTGAGGGTGAAGAATTTTAAAAATAAAATACAAATTAAAAAAAAATATAAAATAAATAAAAGAAATACAACAACGTAAATAAAACCACAAGAAAATTTAATTAATAAAAAAATCAAAACAAAGGCTTTAATAAGAAAATTAAAAAATTGATAACAATTTAAAACAAAATAATTGCAAAATATTTTTGATTCAAATTTAAAATTCAGTGAAAGTGTTTTTTTGTTTTTGTTAAAAACAAATGTTTTTGTGCATACAAATTTTGTTTAAATGAAGTTCAAATAACCAGTGTTTTTTATTAATTTTTGTTTTTTATAATTTTTTTTTTTTTTCATAAAAAATTTTGTTAAAATTTTTTCAGCTGTTTTATTTTTTTTTTTGAAAGTCATTTATTTGTTAACTTAAAATTAATTGTGTATAAATTAACAATTATTTAGACGGAATTTCCAAACCACAATAAAACAAGGTAAATAATGAATGCCACAGCATTGTTGTTTGATTGTTTATTAAAGTGTTGCCGTTTTTAAATAAAATTTGAAATAAATTTTTGATTTTCTACATCAACGTTCTTATGAATAGCCATTTATCTTTACTAGTTTTTATAAATAAAAATTTAGAAAAAAATAAATTTAATAAAATTTAGAAGAAATATAATATTCTGTACACAAAATTTATCTATAGCAGCAACTCTGCTCTTGTGTGCATGTTCAACTTGATCAGCTTTCTGGTTTATATTTACATAATAGCGTAAACAAATCTCTTCTCTTAATTCTACGTAAGCGGATCTTTAATTATAAACATTCTTTTTAACATGCATTTCTCTCTATGTATTTCTAGTCGTGTAATTTATTCAAATATGTACGTTGTGGTTGTTTTATTTTTGAAAAAAAAAGATAAACCGGCTTTTCTTAAAACAGTGTTTAGAAAAGCAATTAATTTCAAGTAAAATAGTAAGAAGAATATACTAGAGCTCAGAGCAGACAAACGAAATGCCTAGACTATCGACAACGCTATAAACGACTAGACTAAGGACTGAACAATAGACCAGAATATGGAAACGAGACTGTAAACAAGACCTTAAACTAGACTATAGACTAGACTACAGGCTGGCCTAGAATATAGGCTAGACTATAAACTATACTATAAACTAGACTATAGAATATACTAAAGACAAGACTATAAACTAGACTGAAGACTAGGTTATGGAGTAGGATATAGACCAGAAGACTATAGACAGAGTAGACTGTAGACTTAAATACAGAACAGACCATAGATTAAACTATATAATAGACTACAGACTAAACTATAGACTAAACTATAGACTAAACTATAGACTAGACTATACCTAGACTATAGACTAGACTATAGACTAGACTATAGACTAGACTATAGACTATAGACTAGACTATAGACTAGACTATAGACTAGACTATAGACTAGACTATAGACTAGACTATAGACTAGACTATAGACTAGACTATAGACTAGACTATAGACTAGACTATAGACTAGACTATAGACTAGACTATAGACTAGACTATAGACTAGACTATAGACTAGACTATAGACTAGACTATAGACTAGGCTATAGACTAGACTAGACTATAGACTAGAGAATAGACTAGACTATAGACTACACTATAGACTAGACAATAGACTAGACTATAGACTAGGCTATAGACTAGACTAGACTATAGACTAGACTATAGACTAGACTATAGACTAGACTATAGACTAGACTATAGACTAGACTAGACTATAGACTAGACTATAGACTAGACTATAGACTAGACTATAGACTAGACTATAGACTAGACTATAGACTAGACTATAGACTTAACTATAGACTAGACTATAGACTAGACTATAGACTTGACTATAGACTAGACTATAGACTAGACTATAGACTAGACTATAGACTAAACTATAGACTAGACTATAGACTAGACTATAGACTAGACTATAGACTAGACTATAGACTAGACTATAGACTAGACTAAAGACTAGTCTATAGACTAGACTGTAGACTAGACTATAGACTAGACTAGACTAGACTAGACTATAGACTAGACTATAGACTAGACTATAGACTAGACTATAGACTAGACTATAGACTAGACTATAGACTAGACTATAGACTAGACTATAGACTAGACTATAGACTAGACTATAGACTAGACTATAGACTAGACTATAGACTAGACTATAGACTAGACTATAGACTAGACTATAGACTAGACTATAGACTAGACTATAGACTAGACTATAGACTAGACTATAGACTAGACTATAGACTAGACTATAGACTAGACTATAGACTAGACTATAGACTAGACTAGACTAGACTAGACTATAGACTAGACTATAGACTAGACTATAGACTAGACTATAGACTAGACTATAGACTAGACTATAGACTAGACTATAGACTAGACTATAGACTAGACTATAGACTAGACTATAGACTAGACTATAGACTAGACTATAGACTAGACTATAGACTAGACTATAGACTAGACTATAGACTAGACTATAGACTAGACTATAGACTAGACTATAGACTAACTATAGACTAGACTATAGACTAGACTATAGACTAGACTATAGACTAGACTATAGACTAGACTATAGACTAGACTATAGACTAGACTATAGACTAGACTATAGACTAGACTATAGACTAGATAGACTCTAGACAGACTATAGACTAGACTATAGATAGACTATAGGACTATACTATAGACTAGACTATAGACTAGACTTATAGACTAGATATAGAATGACATAGACTAGGACTATAAAGTATAGACTAGATAGACTAGATATAGACTAAGATTACTAGACCAGATATAGCTAGAGTATATACTAGATATAGCCTAGCATTTTGATCTGCAGTTGATAGTAATATTATTTTCGATATTGCAGTTCGACTTAGTTTAATATCATTTGGCGCTAAATGCTCAATATAGACAATTTCTCAATCAGTTTTTTATTAAATCAAAATTTTTAAATTAATTACATTATGATAGCTATAATCTTGTATATTATCGCTTATTTAACCTATTATAGTAAGCATAATTTTGATTGTTACGTGTTAAAAACAGTTAAGCTGCCAATATATCAAACACACCTACAGTGTGCAATACTTGTTTACATTTTGTTGTTTTCGATAAGATTAAATATTTACGTATAAGGAATTTGATAATATATCTTAAGTATAATCAACGAAATCTTAAAATAAATTTTTGTTTAAAAAAAGCCAAAAGAAAAAGTAATGGAGAGAAATTTAAAAACAGAAATCTAAAAGCTTTTACTGATTATACAGTAGAGATCATAAAATGATGAACTGAATAGTTTTGTTTGAGACTTTATTTTAAACTTATCTAAATATATATGTATAATCTTCTCTACCAAAAAAATATTTAATGCATTTCTTTTTTGTTAATTTTGCATAAGAAATCTTTACTTTAAAGCTTTAATGTTCTTAAAAGCTTTTTAAGTTTTGTTTTGCTTGCAAAACTTTTGGGATTATGTTGTTGACTTTTGACTCGTTTAAAAGTCATCATCACACAAACATATGTATGTAGTTTTTTAAACATTTGCACACATAGATAGATACAGCACTTAAGCTCAATTAATTCTAAACACTCATACACGCAAAGAATTTCTAATGCAGACACACTGATATATGTATAGGAATGTATACCCGGCAGTGTTAGGTACTAGTTTCGTATCCACCTGCAAAGTTTTCGACTGCTGAAATTTAAGGGTTTTGACGAGGTAGAACAAATTTTCACTAATCGTTCAGACTGTGATGATCGATGCACGAGAGTCCTCGCAGCTTTGAAAAAGTTATTTTTTTTTAGCATAAGATTAGAAAAAATCATACAAATTTTGTTAAGTTGTCAAAATGCTACCTTTAGAGTTGCAGGGTAATGTAAGCGTAAAGATTGCATGTGTGCTTCCATGGCATTGTTAAGTAACCGTTTATAACCTTTCGAGATTATCAAAAGAAAACTGCATCTTTTATAATATAGAGAAGAAGAGAGTATTTTATAATTCTTCTTAGATAGATGATGCGGAAAGAATCTTGATGATATTAATTGTGATGCTTTAAGTTTAAGGAGAAAAAGGAAAAGAAGCTAACATTGAAAAGTAATGAGTTAGAAAGCTAAAACAAACTGGTTTCCACTACCTCTTCATTAGCATTTTAAGTCGCTCGCTTACAAATAACCACTTAGATAACTACTTACATATTGGGAGTTAAAAAGCTATTTTGTTTCACACACAAACAAATTGCTCACACTAGGTCTCTTGCTTTCCAGTTAATTTTTTCTATCGTTTTATTAAAACTATTAAATACAAGATAAAAAAGTTATAAACATTTTTAGACATGATTTTTTTATAGCTCAATTTAAATTATAGTTGCCAAACAATTATTCAAGTTTTCGTTATGAATTTTATTTCTCTAACAAAATCTTATAACTTTTGTTTTATAATCTTTAAGATTTAATTACTATTTGCTACGTTTTATTGCTCTAACTCTAAAAATAAAAGTAATATTTTTAATATTTATCATTTTAAGTTATGTTGTCGTTAAAATAATGCTATGAAATGTTTTTACTTTTGGTGAAATTTATGTGATAAGTCAATAATTTGTTAGATAAATGTAATTAAATATGAAATAATAAAAAGAAAACAACAAGCTGTCTACAAAACTATTCAGCATGACTATTTAAAAACAAGACATCTACACAATTAATTACTTTGAAAGTAGAGAGTAGGATACCGAGATAAAGTTTCTATTATTTAGGGACATTAAGATGAGGGACATTAAGATGATGTAAGTTAATTGCAAAATAATAAAAAGCAGCACAATACTAAAAATAAGGATGATCTAAAAGGAATTAGACACTCCATACAACTTTCGTGCTGGGTCTCTAAACTGAATTAAAATTTTCAAAATTTTGTAAGTTTCCTATCAGACACTTTTTTGCCATAAAACCTAATTGCCATGATAGAATTTTAATCGAAAAACGTCGAAATTAGTTTTTTATTGCTTTAAAAATGCGATATATAAGTAATTATTCAGAATGTAATTCTAAACTACTAAAAATATTTATAAATATTTCCATTAAAATTGACTGAATTCGTTACAACAATTATTACATACCAATATCATATTTCTAATTTGAAAACAAGCCGAATAACAATACCCTACATCGAATACTAAAACCCTTTTAAATTCCAAATATTGTAAGACATTTTCGAGTCATATGACCTTGGAAAGGGTCCTAATGTGGGGGACCTGCCCACAGAATTTTAAATTGTGTATTTCAATCTAGTTCAGTTCTAGTTCAGTTCTAGTTCAGTTCTAGTTCAGTTCTAGTTCAGTTCTAGTTCAGTTCTAGTTCAGTTCTAGTTCAGTTCTAGTTCAGTTCTAGTTCAGTTCTGGTTCAGTTCTAG